GTGCGGCTCCAAATGAACTGCAGAGGAGTTTGTTTCCAATCCAACTAGTATGTATGCTGATAATATGTTATTTTTCCTTTTGTGTTTGTTATTTATTACATTTTTCTTCCACAAGACATTCATAATAAATTTTAAAAAATACAGGTAAATATATTTTGCATGTCTGGTCTTCATTTTTTCTATAAAATCGCAAAGGACATCTTTCACAGTTTACTGCACACGCTCGTCTTTTCAGTCCACATTTACTTGACACTATTACATGTCAATAACTTCTGTCTGATCTCTTTGCTTATATAAAAGGAGTTCTTCCTCCCTGCTCTCGCCAAGTGAATGCTCATAAGGGAACTGCCATATTGTTTGGGGCTCTTCATCTAATCTTGAAGGGTCTTTGCAATATATCAAAATATAGATTTTCTTCTTGGCAAAGAAAAGCAAAGTATCTGAACTGAAAAAGCAAAAATCAGTAAAATGATATTAAAAGCTGGTAAACCTGACAGTAAAGTAAAGGTGAGCTAATCTCACATATTCATTATTACTGTTAAAAATGACAAAATCCTATATTTGGATGACACGTCTGACGAATATAAACGTGTCTCTACATCCTTAAAAACGATGCTCCCTGTTTTGGTTTAAATCCACCGCCTTCACTCAAAGCTAACAGCTCTCAGCGAGGTTTGGCGTACGGATACTCTCCAATCACAATCTGTCACGAGTTCATTAACATATGAAAAGTTCTAAAGGCACGAAGGAAGCAGGAGCTCGCACCGCCAGCTCCTCATCATCGGTGACCCGGGCGGACTGACAGCTCCGAGGAAGCGGCGCTGAGCAAACATACACGTTTCCTGGAAGGCTGGGAGCTCCGTGGAAGACTAGAAGCGGACCGTCAAGCCATTTTAAGGCAAACAGGGAAACCCCACGTCAGTCACGGAGAGGTTCATCTGCAAGTGCAGCCGAACACATCCAAACGAGAGCGGCTGCGGCGTCCAGCAGCCCTATACGCTTTGACCTCAGAGCCATTCAAGCGACCACAAACCCCGCTGCACAATAACGTTTAAGACCCGTAAATTACGCAGTCCGGAACATGTAAAGTGACATCTGATGAGCTGACAACGTAAATAAAAGCTGTACGTACATGAAACATCCGGT